CCCAGCAGCGCTGCTGATGCCTGAACGGTATGTGGAATGAAGTGGGCGGGCATCGAGAGGCCACTATGGCACGGGGCAAGCACTATGGGCAGTCTATCTGAAGTGTACCTGGCGTATAAGATGACCCCCCACTTGGAGGCATATTTTTCAGGGCCAAAAAATCATCTTATACGCCGGCAAATACGGTAGGTGGTATTTAAGTAATGAGAATGGATGTAGGAAAACATACAGATAGAAGATCCAGAACTGAACCCTTCAAAAGCTCCACCAGTTTGACATTCCCATCTCATACCTAGTATTCTTAAAATTAAAAAACTGCTTTAATTTTTAAAGCTATCACTTATTAGGTCAGTTTCTAAAGTCATCAAATGCATCCATGGAACACGACAATGAACTAAAAAGATTATATTCTACAAATCTCAAAGCAGGAAAAAAAAGAGAACCGAACTCCATTCATGATCAGAGGAAAATTAGGAACTCAAAACATTTCCAAATATAATCCAAATATAAAGGCTGTACAAACTAGTGGTTAAATGCATGGTATAAGAGTTCAGGATGTCTGAATCTTCATTCTGGTCCCTACACTCAACTATGTACCCTAGGGAAAGGCACTTACCATGCCGTTTACTCAGCAGTAAGTTGGGGATAATAACTTCTTGGATTAAGTGAATTACTGCCTGAACTTTTGCAACAGAAAAGTTAGCTTATCTTAGTGAAATAGAAGTTGGGAGAGAGACCCTTCAACTAAACACACGAATTCTTCAACTACCTTAACCAAGGACTTGTAGCTCTGTTTTGATTTCAAAACTTGTTCCTAAATTTAATTCTCTGAACTCACGGCTGAAAACAAGGCCAAAACACATGCCCAAACTCCTTAGTCTCCAAAACAACCAGGGAGCAACTCGCTGGTCCCAGTTCACAGGGAACAGGCATGTCTGATAACAAGGTCCAGCTGCGACACAGGCTTCCCGGGCTCGAATCCCTCCTTAACCACTTACTTGATTGATTCTCTTCTGATCTCTCCTAGAGGATGAGTGTATTTTCAGACAGAGAAAGGTTAAACCAAGCTTTGAATGGGAGTGCAGCAAAGAGCTGAGACTACAACTCTCAGGCAGCAACAGGGGGAGACCTCTCCAGTCACCGTCCATCCCTTTCCCAGAGCACAGGGGGGCCAGGCTCTCGGGTGGGTTATGGGGAAAGTGCGACCTTCCCCCATCTAGACCCCGACCCCGACCCCGTTCCCTGGGAGCAAAGCAGCTCCCCTCCCCAGCTCCCCCTCTTCTCGCGGGAGTCCGGGTTCCAGACCTGGGCCTCGGGCTCCAGCCTCCAGCGCGGAGCCGAGGAGCCGCCCGGGGAAGAGACAATAGGGCCGTGGCGGCCGCCGTACCTCTCACGGTCGCGGCCGTCGAAGTAGACGAAGTCGCCGTTCTGGACGCACTTGGCGCAGGTCAGCCGCCGGCGGGTGGTGTTGCACAGCGGGCA